CCCAATTAGGTCACAATCACAGGTTCTGGACGGACATAAATTTGGTTAGAGGGGCACCATTTGCCTTGGTACGCCCTCAGTGATGGAGAACAAAGGCTACTCAAGGGTGGGTCTACACACTGCTCAAACAGATTTAATTGGCTTTGTGTGGATTTTGGATCTGAGCAAACAGACACTCCTCAAAGATACTGCTGGTTTGGTTTCAGACCACTGTGATAAAGTGAACATCGCAACCAAGTGAATCACAAACTTTTTGGTTTCCCAGTGCACATACGAAGTTATGTTTACACTGTACTGTAGCCTATTAAGGGTGCAATAGCTTTGCATCTTAAAAAAATGTACGAACCTTCGTTTAAAAATACTTTAATCATTAAAAAAATGCTAACCATCTTCTGAGCTTTCAGCAAGTCATAATCTTTTTGCTAGTGGAGGGTTTGAAATATTGCAAGAATTACCAAAATGTGACATAGAAACATGCTGTTGGGAAAATGGCACCAATAGACGTGCTTAACACAAGGTTGCCATAAATCTTCAATTTGTAAAAAAAGTAGTATCTGCAAAGTGCAATAAAGTGAAATGCAGCAAAACAAGATGTGTCTGTATTATTCAAAAGGAGGAGATTAGCATAAAATAAGAGCTAATGTACCTATATACATGCATAACTGAATCACTGTGCTGTACACTAGGAACTAACTGACGATGTAAACATTGCACATCGACTATACTTCAATTAAAAAAAAATTTTTTAATGAAAATACTGCTAAAAAAAGAAAGTGCTGGGCACTGTGCTGCTTGCATTATCCTCAGCACCTCCATGTGAGGAGACATTATTCGCCCCATTCTGCAGATGAGAAAACTAAGTTCACAGCACCAGTAAGTGGTCGAGCAGGGGCTCAAACCCGGGTCTGCAGTTCACTCCCCTGCTTAGTGTGACTGGAGAAAGCACTGGGTTCAGGGTCAAGAGATCTGAGTTCCAGGCCCAGTTCTGCGGCTGTGTGGCTTGGGCAGCATTGCTTAACCCCTGTGGATCGCAGATGAACGAGCCCTTGCTCCCCTGTGTGTGGTTCCAGGAGCTGCAGCTTCAGCGTCACCTGGGAACTTACTGGAAATGCAAATCTCAGAAACCACTCAGAATCTGCATATGAACAAGCCCCGCTGATGACTCAAACATGCAATACGGTTTGAGAAGTAGCTGTGGCCTAGGTAATCTCCATGGCAGCTTTCCCCTTGAAGACCCTGTTTCTGTATTTCTAGGAGGAAGGATGGCAAATCTTTCCCATTTCAGAGAGGATAGTGGATGTTAGGGCCCATACCCTCTCAGGAGTAAGCCATTCTTTTTAGAGGGGCCCTGCTGGGATGGGGGCAGCAGCGGGGCACGGGACCCCGAGTGTCAGTGTCAGGGGTTCTGGGTTAACCAAGACCCAGACCAAGCCGGTACTTAGGAGCCAGGAAGGCATGGACACCAAAGAAACAACAAGGAAATCTGTCAGTTTTATGTTATTTGGAAAAAACAAATTCCATTGTATGGAATAGCATCCTATTATTTTGAATCACATGAGTGGGGAGTGGGTGGGGAGTGCACATTATGATGTAGAGGGCCTCTGACCTCACTCTGCCCAACACAGTGGATGCACGTGGCTACTGAGGACTCAAAGTGTGGCCGGTCCAGGTTGAAATGTTCTCTAAGTGTAGAACATCTACGGTATTTTGAAGACTTAATATGAAAAAAGGGATGTCATTTAGCTCATGAATAACTTTCATTTTGACTACCTGTTGAAATGATATTTTTGATGCAGTATTGAGTTAACTAAAGTATATTATTAAAATTAATTTATGTATTTTTTTTCTTGTAAAATTTGGCTTCTCAAAAATTAAAAATGACCTGTATGTCTCACCTTCGAGGCTATTGGACAGCATGGCTCTAGGCATTTAAATCCAGCCCTGGCAGGGCTGGTATAGCAATGAGATAGGTACACGATCTTGCAGACAAGTCTTGCCAATGATACAGTTTTGCTTTGGCAAGCTCTTATTACAAGAGGTTGGAATTTTAGACCTTCATCCAAATGGTAGCTTTTCAAGATGGCTCTAGTTTCCAATCACCCCCCACCTCATATCATAACTCTTTGACCTTGGGCAAGTGTTTAGCCTCTGAGCTCAGCGTTCTTATCTGTTAAGTCAATTATAACACAACTTTCAGGATTGCTGGGAGGGTCGCACAAGGTGACGTGTGTGCGGTACCCAGATTAGCACTTGGCATGTAGAAGGTGCTCTCCAACAGTAACCAGCATAAGAGTGGTCCCACCTCGTGGCCACACCCAAAAGGGGCACGAGAACACTGCATGACTTTGGCATTCAGTAGGTGCTCCATCTGTGCTTAGTGATCTCAACGCACGTGGTGGCTAAGAACTCGGGGATTTATCACAAACCACAGCTGAATCATTCCCACAGCCGCCTCAGCTCCTGTCTCCAACCCACATCCAGATGTCAGGCTCTCACTGGAGAGGCATTAGGGAAACACCTGTGAGGCTGGCTCAGCTGCTCAGGAAAAGTCAGTTATAAACATCCTGACACGTCCAGGGAAACGTGTCTCCTGACGGCTGTTGTCCAAACACGAGATTAGCTAGGATGTGAGCAAGGACCAGCTTCTGCCTGCTGAGTTTCCTCTGATGCCCCCAAACCAAGCCACCTAGTTGTGACCATTCACTCCCAGCTCTCTCTGATCTATTCAACAATACTTACTATGTATGACTCCCTTCTACCATTCTCCTCCCAGACTGTCTCCAACACCAACTCCTTTGGGACCTCTCCAACATTTCTTGGGCAAGGAAGACTAGTCTATACTTAGAGAGTTTCTTATGCTGAAACAAAATATGTCTTCTTATAACTTCCATCCTGGATCCCAGTTCATTCCTTTGGAGTCACACAAAGAATTTATGGCCATATTTATATATGGGTATATAGCGGCCATATTTATGGCCATGATGCCCATTCCTGGAAAAATAAATCTCCACAGTTCACTTCTAAGTAAAAATCTGGCATCTGTCTTCTTAGAACACTATGCCAAGTGAAAGAAGCCAGACACAAAAGGCCACATACTGCATAATTCCAGTTGCATGAAATGTCCAGAATAGGTGAATCCAAAGAGACAGAAAGTAGACCAGTGATTGCCCAGACCTGAAGGGAAGCAGGAGAGGGTAGTGGCTTTTAATGCATGTGGGATTCTCTTTTGGCTGATGAAAATGTTCTGGATCGTTCCATTGGATTTCCTCTGACACTTGAATTCAACATGTCTGAAGTGTGACCTCCACTTCCACCTCCACTTTATATTCCTTTTCTGGATGAATGATAACCCCTATCTCATTCCCCGAGACAGAAACCTGGGGGTTCTTCCTGACTTCTCACTTCCCCTCACACCCCGACTAGTCTGCGACCAACCCCTGTGGTGTCAGCACATTAATGCCTCAAATCTTCTTCTTTCCTGTACTCCCTGCCCTTACCAGCCTCATCATCTGTCTCCTGGTCCCCTTCTGATGTCTCCCTACCTCCATTCCCACCTTCCTCCAGTCAGTTCTCTACGTTACTTTCTAAATGAACTCTTCCTTGATGCCACCTTTTCTCAGAATTAAGTACAAGTTCCTAAACATGCCACACATGACCCCCAAAAGAAGGTGCTTAATAAGCATTTGCTGGATTGTTGAATGAATATGAGATGTGTGTTAAAGAGCCCTGAAGGCTCCCATGGAAATGAGAGCTGCCCTAGGCTAGGAAGGTCTGCAGCTGGTGGTCCAGAACAGGGAATTAATTCCTGCCTGGGCTGAATGCTGGCTCTCCCACTTACTCACTAGCCGTGTATCTGGACAAGCCACCTAACCCCTCTATGTCTGAATTTAACCATTTGGAAAATTAGGATTAAATGAGGTTTGCTATTATCAAATGAAGTAATGCATGCAACATGTATGGCAAAAAGAGTTCAATAAATGCTACCTGTTACTGTAAAGCTGCCTTTTCTGCAAAGTCCCAGAACTTAAGATACCACTGAAGGCAGGTGGGTTTGCTCGTTGGCCTCCTCTTCTTCCTCCTTCTCCTTCCTCTCCTACTCAGTGGGGCCCTTGTCTGTACTGGCCATCTCTGCCTTCTTTGCTACTCAAGAGCTATTCCAAATTCTCACCCGACCTTCATACTCCATTGTCAAACCCATCTCTCTAGCAGATAACCTTGCCTCACACTCTCTGTGCAGTGTCCGGTCACCAGGCATGACCACCTGCAACCTTCTCCTCTTCCCGCACCCATGAGTGTATCTATTCCTGCTCTCCATCCCTCCTCCCCATCCCACTCAGGGTAAATCCTCCCATCTGAGCTTTGGGCTCCACCTTCTTCCAGGCTTCTGGGATTAGAACCTTCTTTTACAGAGACCGCCTTGGGTTCCAGAGCCTTTTTTCATGGCGCTAGTCCCAGATGCTCCCTTCCTCATCCCACCTTGTTCCTGGGTGTACCTTACTGCTGACCTCTTGCTTAGTCTCCCGTTTGGGCCAAGCACTTACCTTAGGCCTGGATGAAAATGGCTTCTCCAGTGTTGATGTTTGATTCTTGCCCTTGGCCATTGATTTATCTCCACTTGCTTTACTTCTAGACATACCTCTCAGGTCCCTGATCCACTTCTCATCAGACCTGATGCCCCACTACCTCCCATGAAAGGCATCAGAGGGTTTAAATGACACCAGATTTGCATGAACAGCACTTCTCATGAAGAGTCCCCCACCTCAAGTTCAAATTAAATGTCATCATATTCCATTTCTAGCTATTATACTGAATCCTGAAAAGCAGTAGAATCTGATTATAACTTTGGGAATTTTTATAAAGGGAACCTTAAAAGTGATCAACTTAGCTTGGAATATACAAGAGAAGTCGAGGTCATCTTCCTAAGATCATGGGACAGTTGGACCTGAGATCAAGTTTAATCAACTTCAGAAGTAAATTAGCAAACAAAATATCTTTCATACCCATTCCTTTGCAGGCTTTGTTCAGCTTTTTGGCATCTCGATCCGCATCAAAACCCTGATGACTTTTCTCTTTGGCCTAGAGAAAATATTTGAAAAGGTAAGTGGACAATGTAGGCATTTAAGAATTATCTCTGGCTGAAATTGGCAGCTAACTGGAAGACCAAACCGTCGTCTGAATGAGGGACCAGATGCCACTTTACACGTGGGTCCATGTGGAAATCAGCTGGGGAAACTCTGGCCCCAGAGAGATGGCTGGTACTCCCTGGAGCCAGCTGGACTGGGATGACCGCAGAGAATGGGCCCCTCTGTTCTCAAGGACAATCACTCTGGCCAGCTCTGGGAGGAGCGATTTTCACATCAACCCCACCTTTGTGTGTCTGTTTCTGAAACAGAGAGTAACACAGTGGGCCAATGTCCCTGAATGCTGGTTCTCCGCCTTTGCCACGAGACATGAATATGTCTAGGGAATAGGTGTTGCCGGCCAGAAGCTGAGGGTTCTAGGATCTTATTACTGATTCACTTGTCAACCTGAGCTAAAGCTTTGCCATTCACACAATGAGAGACATGATGTTTAGCTGGTCAGAGCTACCATGTGGAGGGAAATAGCAGAGTTATTTGGTTTTTACTGCTCCTAGGGGAGAGAAAGTTCCGGATACATAGTAATGTTGCCCATACTTCAGTCATTGGCATAATATTTGCACTAATTTTTCCACAGCTAACTATGTCTGCATCATTATTATTTGCTTATCATTTTTCTTTCAATTGACTTACTTTGTTTTTATTTAGAGTTATTTTTAAGAAAGAGACTTTCTATTAGCACTGAAGTAGAAAACCAGTGTTCTCTGCCGAAACAAAAGGGAAGCATAAAAATCAAGGCATCACAATTAAAAATTTAAAGACATGAGGTTGATTGCAGTTATGCAGCCAGTAGCTTTAAACAGACCCTGTGTTTCCTCAGTTCTTTGTCTTTCCCCACAGAGATTCTCTTTGATGACGTGGGTGACTTCCTTTGCATCCTTCGGTGAAAGCTGGTGTAAGTACCACTGTCCGCGCACCCTGATTATTCCCCTCTCCCCACTTTCATTTCTTTGGGTACCTATAGGGAGCGAGCAGTAAGCCACATCAAGCAGAGGACGAGCTGCATTTATCTGCCCGGTATCCCTACTTCCTTTGGGGGATTTCCTCTCTCCTCATTTCATGTGGTCTCACTGGGGCTGTGGGTCACGAGGCTTGAGCCTCCTTGTCCTGCCCTTGGGTGGACACACACCCAGTCACTCTGGCAGTAGTGGCTGGTTCAGGAGAGGGGGTGTGATCCAAGCAGAATCAATTAGCCTTTTCCCTTGGTTGACACAGAAATATTGGGAGAGATCCGTCTCTCCCTTCTGAGCCTGCCAAGCTGCGAGAGCGTGAGTCTAGGGCTGTTGGCAGCCATGGTGTTCACTCCATAAAGGAAGCGTGAGTTCAGAATGAAGCAAAATAGAGACAAGAAGACTGGAAATATGGAGAGAGAGAGAGAGAGAGGGAGGGAGGGAGAGAGAGGAAGATAACGATGGATGGGCTGGAGGAGGGCTTGTGTCTAGGCTTTGGTTAATGGGGAATCATACAATCTTAGAGCCACGGGGACCTTCAGGGCCACCGATCACCCACTGCCGTTTGGAACATGAGTGCAAGGCCAGGTTGAAGTGTCTATTCCTGAAACAACCCGGGAGAGGGAGTCATATTTGTCGAGCAGCTGCCACGTGCTTGATGACGGCTTCATTTAGAGGCCTTTCTTCATTATTTATGGGGAAGTGTAGCATCTGCTTTACAGAGGAGGATGCCTGGCTTCAGACAAGGGAGGGAATGTGAGGTCTTGTGGGCTGCAGGTTTGCGCCAGCTCAGTTTGTCTCCTAAAGCTCATGCTCTTGGGTCAGTGCACCATCCTGCCGCACACTCTGACTGGGGCCCTCATGTTCAGCAGAGGCTCAGCATGTCCCATTTTCCCTTTCCAGTCTTTTGTGGGCTGTGAGGAAGCTATCTAGTGCTTCTGAAGGCTTGTGGGCCGGACCAGGGACATCATTTGTGGGGCTCAATGCAAAATGAAAACGTAGGGCTCCTTGTTCAAAAGTGATGAAGAATTTCAAGATCGGGACATCAGAACATTAAACCAAGAGCAGGGCCTTTCTGCTTTGTGATCACATTCTAAAAGGTCTGGTTGACTGAGTGTGGGAGGGTGGGAAGTAGCAATCTCAAGGGAGTAAATTGTGTCTTTGCTTTTCATCAGGAGTATGATGGGCAGCTCAGAGCAGCAGGAAATCTCCTATTAACAGGTTGATTCATAAACTGTTCGGTATTTTAGCCTCATCAGTGCAAAAGTTTGGTGGAACACTTCTTATCTATCCCACTTCATAAATGGTAAGTCAAAACAAAGACAGGGGCTCTATGAATGGCTGTTCAGGTTATGCCCAGCCTGAGGGCCCTGGCCTGGGGGTGCTGGGGGCTGGGTACCACTGGGGCTACACTTGCCAAGCTCTGTGCTGGCAGGGCTGCTTCTGCCCTAGAGGGACTTCTCCCTCATTTGGACAAGGATGCTGCCAGGGCTTGCTGAAGCCATGAGAAGATTTGTTTAAGGTCACTTGGCCAGATAATAGCTGAATGGGAACCAGGGCTCAAACCAGGACTGTCTGACTCTGTCGGGTCTGAAATGACATTTCCTCCCGGTGTTAGTAAGATGGCTCCATGATACAAATATCACTGAGTTCAAACATCCCCGAGTGGAGGGATGGGAAAAGAACCCTCTGGACACATGCAGTTTGTTTACCCAAGGCTCAAAAATGAGTAAAAAATAAGCATCATTTAATCCAAAATAATAGTGATGCCCAGGGGCTGCAGTGGGAGAGTGTTGAACCCTGTGAGGAATAAAGATGATGCTGAGATTGAATTTTTTCAATCTCACCGCCCCCTGGCTCCTTCGAGGAATGATTCTTGGCCAAGTTGATTATCTTTCTTTATCGGAAGAGAATTCCGTCTGGTTCCTCGTAACAGTAGGATACTTGATGTCAGAGGGAAAGAATCATGTGCTGTGATTTAAGAAAGAAAAAGAGACAGAAAGAGAAAACAGTCTGGGAGGAATTTTCCCCTCTGTGTGGCTGGAGCTGCCTCTACAATGGATGCATTCATCAGTGGTGCCCATTGTTGGTGCACGGGGTGTCCTTGGCTTGTTCTGGTGAGCTGGGTAGAACTTCTCAGGAATGTGTGCGGAGCGGACGTGGCCCCTCGGCTGTTCATTGTTAGTGGGCCAGGCAGCTGACTTGGGGGCCTCGGGCCTTGTTTGCCCATTAGGAGGTTTTGTTTTTGAAACTCAAGGCCACTGAGCAGAACTTCCACAGAAAGCAGGTCTGTAGGAACAGGAGGCAGACACAAAACGGGGGTGCAGGGGATTCCAGGATGGGGACAGAGGGTTGAGCGTGTAAGGATTATGGGAAAAACAGATGCTCCACTTGCTTTCAACTACAAGGCATAACAGAGGTGGGGCAACATTCCTTTTTTTGTTTTGTTTCGATTTGTTTGTTTTGACAGCATTTGCACTGACACTCAGGAGACACAGAAGAAAGATACGATGTTAGAGGCTAATAAAACTGACTACGAGAGTCTGGGCTTTGAGCCCACGTGGGTCCAAGTTTGAATGTGGTCCTGCCCCCTAGCAGCCAGGTGAACTTGGGCCGGAACCTCTAAGCCACCATTTCCTCCTCCGTGAAACAGGGGCGGTGTCTGCCTTCTGAGATCTGAGGCTTACAGGAGATAACATTTCTAGTGCCAGATATTTAGAGGAGCCTCAGAAATGCCAGTCATTCCTCTGCTTCGTTGGACCGTGGCTTGTTTTTTCTGTCTGGTAGTGCTATTTAGGTTTTCAAGCCTATTTTGACTTGACAAGTTAAAATAGCAATACAAACTTGATATTTTATCTATCTATCTATCTATCTATCCATCTATCTATCTATCATCCGTCTCATAATGCCCCAGACAATATCATGTTTATAATAGGCAGCTATTGAGGGTGTAATAGTCAACTTGAAGAGCGTAGCCTTTAGTCCGACTGGGTTTGAATCCCAGCATGACTGCTTGTTACGTTTGTGACCTTGGGCGAGTTTGGGAACCTGTCTGTGCTGTGGCTTCTTTATGGCAAAATACAGATATTAGTATCACCTACTTCATAGGTCTCTTGTGAGAGTGTGAATGAAGTCCGTCACGCAAAGCATCTAAAATGAAGCCCAGCAGAAAGTACACGCTCAATAAATGTAAACAATATTTGTGGAAGGCAGATCAGCCAATGACCTTTCCAGAATATTCTAAATTCTTTCCTGCTTGAGAGGTTTCCACCTTGTAAACGGCACTCTTAGGATCCGTTTTTCGTTCATCACCTACAGTTCGCATCCAGAGTTCCAGGCATGCATTTGACCCAGGGCAGTAAAGGTTTTTAAAAGTTCAGGCTGTATGGAGTCCGGGTGACCTGGGATGACACCATGACATCACACTTTGACCAGCGTGATAGTTTGCTCCCCCTTGGGAGGGAGGGTCCCTTGGAGATACAGTGCTGGTGCATTGCTGCCCATCGCGCTGGTGCGTCAGGCTCAAAATGAAACAAATCTCCCTGACTCTACAAAAGGCACTGCTTGGTGCATGAATACATGGGGAGCGTTCCATCTTACTTTTTCCCCTCCTTCTAGCATGTCTACATGTCACTTTTCTGTGTCTCCATGGGCCTGACTCTAAAACAAGGAAACCAATGATCCATTCTTCTGGAGGGAGGAGGCAGAGAAAATAAACTGAGATTCTGGGAGCCTAGGAAGCAGTGTCACCGGGGCAGAAAGAATGTTGAAAACACCTTCTCCACATGCCGTTTGGATGCAGTCATGTCTGGGATGCGGTAGCACAGTGCCGGACCACAGTAAGCGCCCCGACATGACGCGGGGGGTGCCAGCTGCAGCTCCTTGGCTGTAGGAGGAAGTGTGGCTCTGTGTCAAGTTCTGAAAGGACCGGAGTGGAGGAACAGACACCTGACCAAAGGCTTCTGACCCAGTGCAATTCACGGAAGGC